AAAAAAAAAAAAAAAAAAAAGTACAGATCTGAAGCTGGTGGCACATGCTATAATCCCAGCACTCGGGGGGCTGAGGCAGGAGGATCACTATGAGTTGGAGGCCAGCCTGGGATACATAAGTTCAAGGCCAGGCCAGACTACACAGTGAGACCCTGTTTCAAAAACAAACCAGGGCAGGGGATTTAGCTCAGCAGTTCGGTGGCCTGCCTCGCAAGAGCAAGGACCCGAGTTCGATCCCCGGTACCAAAAGAAAAAAACAAAAACAAAAACAAAAAAACCAAACAAGACACTACAGATCTGGGTGTTGTGGTGCACATCTGTAATTCCAGCACTCGGGAGGCTGAGGCAGGAGAATAGCCTCTTGGAGTGACATAGTCAGTTTAAGATGGCCTGAGCTACATAGCAAGACTGTTTTTTTAATTATTATTATTTTTAAATACAGATCTGGAAAAAAAATACAGATGTGTAGAGAAAGTGGTCATCAGTCCCCCAAACTGGGTGGAGAGGGACTCATGAACAGGTGTTTGGCAGGGCTGGGGGCAGGCACAGGCCTGTGAAGGTGAAGGAGGGATGGGTTAAGGGGTGTCCACATCCCTCACCTCCTGGGCCCCACATTTCCACTACTTTGCCCTCACCCCTAAGGCCAGCAAGCATTCATTCATCACAGAGGAAATTCTTGCCCTGCAGGGGCCCATCACCAGCATCGGCCCCTCCCCACAGGGACCTTGGCGTCCCAGGTCCCCCACCTCCAGAGTCACGGGCACCAGGGCCACCGAGGCGAAGACCGAGGCCATTCTGGCGTCCCCAGGAGAGACCCCAAGTGCCTGTGGGCCACCCTCCCCTCACCTGGGAGCGGGTTACCCCCAGCCGTACCTCTCCAAACTGGCTCTGCTGGGCCCCTAAGGCCTGCATCAGGGGGGTCAGGTACTCCTGGGGCATGGTGAGCAGGGAGGTGCCGGTGTCCACAATGCCCTGGCAGCCTTGGGAGCACCAGCCATAAGCCTGGTTACCAACGTGCAAGCTGGACAGAGAGAAGATGCCGCATCAGGCCCCACCTGTCAGGCCGAGGGCAGAGCCAGGCCCACCCAGTCCTTCCATTCAGCCCTGCCTCCCACTGTTCCAGAGGATACTGAGGCCACCTAAATGGCCACAAAAGTTAGTTCTCAAAAGTTTCATGAGCCGGGTGTGGAGGCAAATACTGTCATTCCAGCACTTGGGAGGCTGAGGCAGGAGGATCACCTCAAGTTTGAGGTCAGCCTGGGCTACATAGTGCATTCAAGACCAGCCTGAACTATCACAGAGCCCTTGTCGCCAAACACCAAACAAACAACCAGAAAACAAAAATAAGCTTCAAGGAACGCTCTAGCAGGACTGAAAGCCAGGGCCACCTATTCAGTATGAGACTTTTGAACAAATCAGCCCCCCACTTCAGCTTCTCACTGGTAGGGCCGGGTGCCCTGTCCACCCCACATCGCCCCCTGGGAGGCCAGGCTGCCATGCCCTCCGTGCCCCGCCCCCAGCACTGCCCTCCCGATGCCCCGTCCAGGGCCGCCACAGTCTCACTCTTCAATGCCGATCTGCCAGTAGAGCGCCTGGGTGACGGGCGTCCAGGAGATCTGCCCCTTGTACAGGCTTTCGTCCAGGCCGCCCAGGATGAGCATGCCCCCATCCGAAGAGCCCTGCTGGCTGCGGGGACAGAGAGGGCAGTCAGGGAGACGCGGGGACGGTCCTGGGGCTCCTTCCCAGAGGGTGGACTGTGTCCCCCTCAGACTAGGGCTCTCAGAATCCCCACTGAGCGCGGGGCCCGCCTGTGTTCACCGGTGCGGGTGACAGCTGGTGAAGGGTCAGTCCCGGCCGGACCTGGAGACTCCAGGACGGCTGGGAAGACAGATCAAAGGAGATGAAGCCACAGATTACCACACAGAGAGGCACAGGCAGGGCTCAGGCGGGAGCCAGAGCAGCTCGGCTCAAAGTTCAGAGGAAGTGGGAGATGCTGCCCATTGTGGAGCGGGCGGGGACAGCGTGGGGTTTGGGTGGGGCCGGCTCAGAGACCCGGGCTGGGCTCCCGTCTGCCGGCTGGGAGGCTTGGGGCACCCTGGCGCCTCACTTGTCCAGGGCCTGGGACTAGGGACACAGGGGAGCCACTCACCTGCCCAGGTAGACGCTGAAGAGGGGTTGGGAGAGGGCGCCCTCCCGCATCAGGCCCTGCAGAGCAGTGGTGGCGCCCCCGATGGACAGGCCGGGGTAGGCCAGGCCCATGATGCCATCGAACTGGGCAAAGAGAAAGGTGCTGCCTGGCTCTTGCTCACTGAGGCCAAACTCCTGCTTGGTCACCTGGATTTCTTGGATCTGGTGGTGGGAGCACATGACGGAGAAGGTGACAAGTCTGACTGCACCCACCTTTCCCAGCCTATCTGCGAGAGCCCCTTCCAGGGCTGTTCATCCTCCTCACTGCAGCTTCTCCTGTTTGTGGTTTTGGTTTTTTGAGAAAGGGTCTCGCTATGTAGTTCAGGCTGTCCTCGAACTCACAGCAATCCTCCTGCCTCAGCCTCCTGAGTGCTGGCATTACAAGTATGTGCTACCATGCCCAACAGCCACGCCCTTTTGTGACAGGTCTTACAGGGTCCCCTCTTCCAAGTGGCCTTCCCTGACTGGCCCAGTCCCACACCTCAATCTCCTTTCCCTCTGGATTCCCCAGACTCAAGCTCTTGAAGGAAAAGGACCACACCTTCTGCTTCCTTACGGTGTCCCCCGGGCCAGGCACAGGGTGGCCCTCAGAGTGTGAGAGCAGTGGCTGGATGTGGGCCTGTCACGCTGACTTCCTGTCCATGGCGTTCTAGGGGCTCCCCGGGGTCCCCATCCCACACACACCCCTTTTGCACTCACGGTCATGGTGTCATAGCCGAAGATGCCGGTGAGGCTGCCGCTGCCGTACTCCAGAGCAAAAGACTGCCCGGCGGAAGTGTAGGTGGAGGACACGTTGGGGTTGAAGCGGGGGTGAGTGACTGCGGACGGCAGGGCGTGGAGCTCATGTTCGGGCGCTCAGGCCTGCGTGTGTCCCTTCCCTCTCCCAGCACCCGCTCCCCGGCCACCAAGTCGGGGGCCGCTGGGGCTCCCACGTGGGATCAGGGACCGGGCCAGCTGACAGAGCATGGGACGCCTGGGCTGTGGCCTCCCTGTGGGACGGTTGGCCTGGTCTCCATCCCTGGGTCCCTAGCCCCAGCCGACTCCTGAGCTTCTGCGGACGCCATGAAGGGGTAAATGGCCTTGGGGTGTTCACCTTACCCCCACCCTGCGCCCTCCAAGGGGCTGGGTCCCCGCGAGGCATAGGCTGTGCTGGAGATACCAGAACCCAGACCCAAGGCCCACATGGGTCAGTGTCGGCACAAGTCCCACAGATCCCCAGGAGTGGGTCCCCCGGCGCCCCTCAGGGCACTCACTGCAGGCCAGGCTCTTGCAGTACACAGACGGCACCCACAGGTTGGAGGAGCCGGTGTCGAACAGGACCTGGAAGTTCTGGGGTGGTGTCCCGAGGCTGATCTCGCCAAAGTAGGACGCCTGGGGGACGTGGGGTGGTGGTCAGCTCCCCAGCGGAGGGACAGGGACCAGCCAGCAGCCCACACAGAACCTGGGCCAGCCCAAGTCTCCCTCCATGCCACCGTCCCAGAGGCGGCCACTGGGGTCCCTGCGGGTTTGGCCTCTAGAGCAGCAGGGACGCCCCACAAGCCTGAGGGAGGGAAGACAGGAACAGGGGCTCCCCGGGAGGGTGAGGACTCACGTCCATGTAGGACATGGGCTCGAACAGCACGCTGAAGTCACCAAAGTGGTTGGTGACCTTCCGGGTGCGCTCCCGCTTGTGGGTTTTCAGGAAGTCGTCCAGCAAGCCCTTTTCCCTCATGGTCTCCCGGATGGACTTGAACTTCTTCAGGGGGATCCTGTGTTGGCCGAGCGAGCGAGCTCAGGGCGGTGCCCCTCCCGTTTCTCTGCTCCTTCTCCAGCTATGGCTGCCACTCCTCCCCGCCACCCTGTCCCCTGGCCCCTGTCATTGGGTGTCCCATCTGCTGTTCTCCATCTGCTTCTTTCTTTTTCCCCCTCTCCTGCTTGCCAAGCTCTTCTTAGCGCTTGCTCCAAGATTTAGAAAGTTATGTTCTCCTCCCGTACCTGCCTCGCCCCATCTCAAGCATCCCCCTATTCTCAAATATCCCGTAATTTCTGCGCAGGATTGTGGACATTCTGCTTTTCAGAATAAAACTTTTGGAGCCAGGGATTTAGCTCAGGGGTTCTACCACATATCCCAAGTTTGATCCCAGGTCCAAAAAAAAAAAAAACAAAAAACAAAAACAAAACAAAAACGGAATAAATACTTTTTCTTTTGAGACAGAATCTTGCTATCTTGCCTAAGCTGACTTCAAACTCATGGCAATCCTCCTGCTTCAGCCTCCCGAGGACTGGGATTACAGGAATGCGCTGCCACATCCAGCTCAAGAGAAATGCATTTTTTAAAAAAAATAGTTCTCAAAGATGGTAAAGCTCACCCCAAAGACTGTCCCTTGCCCCGGTGGCCCTCTGGCACTGGTACTGGCTAACGTAACCCAGATGTCCCCTGGAGTAACGGGGTCAGCCTCATTCTATCCCTACTGCTAACCACATGGCCTGGGGCCATCACTGTGCCCCTCAGGATGCCGGGTCTGCTGGCGAGTTGTCCTGGGAGCATCAGAGCTGGCAGCCCTGAGTCACGGTTTTGGCCGTGTCCCCCAGGCTCAGTCACTCTGGCTGTCACCCTCCCAGCCATGTGGTGCCAGCACCCATGAGCCTCTGTGCGTCCACCCGGCCCAGCTCCAGGACCCGCAGTTCCTGCTGCTGCTTTCCCTCCTTTCTCCACCTCAACCCCAGTCCTCCCACATTTTCCAAAGCTTTTCTGCTAAACCCTGCCCGAAAGCCGTGAAGACTTCGAGCTGCTTGTTGCCTGCCACTTTACCGAGTTTGCCTCTCAGGGCACATTTCTGCCAGGAGCTGGTGGTTCAGTGAAGAAATCGCCACCTTCCCCGAGGGTCCCTGGGTCCCGGGAGCCTCCACAGGTGCTGAAATCTGGATGCTCAAGGCGGCAGTTGTGCCCAGGTGTGTCTTATACCCTCCCACACCACCCCAATGACTGAGCCAGCTCCATATTAAACACCTGCTACAGTCTCAGCTCAAAGTCATACTCGTGATGCTGCGTAGTTTAGGGAACGATGACCCAAAAGTGTGTATATGTTCCATTACAGATGCGAGTTTTGTTTTTTTGGGGGGTGCGGGTTTGAGACAGGGTCTCACTATGTAGTTGAGAATGACCTGGAACTCACTATGTAGCCCAAGATGTTCTTGAACTCACAGCGATTCTCCTGCCTCAGCCTCCCAAGTGCTGGGATTACAGGCGTGCGCCACCACACCTGGCTGCAAGTTTTGTTTTTAAAGAGTGCGATCTGAGGTTGACTGTGTGGCTGGAGGCAGAACCCACAGATACCGGTAAAAGGCCACAGTGGAGCCGCAGGCAAGTGGCCAGTTATCCGTCTCAGCTCAGGGTATAGAGATTATATTGGCTTAGATTTCTGCTCACATAATGTGAGCATCTGCCAGTCCTTTTGGGGCCTCTAGGAAATTTTTGGTCCTGTGGGGTGGCACACACCTGTCGCCAGGAGGCTGAGGCAGGAAGATCACAAGTTTGAGCCCAACCTAGGCCACTTAGCAACTTAGGAAGACCCCACCTCAAAACAAAAAAATTGAAAGGCCTGGGGATGTAGTTCAGTGTGAAGGCCCTGGGTTCCCCCCACCACCACCACACACAAAAGGAGGGGGGCAAAAAGGAACTTTTGAGAAAGGATTATTTTGCTCCTTATCCAGAAAGGGCTAAGAAGAATCCTAGCCACCACTCAGGGGTGGCTTGGGCAGTCATCGCCACTGCTCCCCCTGTTTCAGGCCCCTCCTTTCCTCAGCTGGGGGGAGCATTGTGTTTAGCCCTCCACTAGCAGTTTCCGGACGGCAGGGAGGGCTGTGTCGCTCCCACCTGTGGGTCCTGCCCAAGCCCAGCCTGGGAGCCCTCTCTCCCCATAGAGAAACTCTGGCGCAGAGGTGGAGAGGGGCCCAAGCCCTGGCCCACTGCCCTAAGGGCTGCGGCTCCCACCCCTGCTCCTGCGCCAGCCCAGGCCCCAGACTCACTTGAGCTTTGTCGCCTCCAAGAGCGGCAGGCAAAGCAAGGCCACCACCATCCACTTCATGACGCTGGTTCCCAGCTGGCTGCAGAGGAGAAGCCACTGAGTTCCACAGAAACTGCGGAGTGCAGACCTGGGTGCTCCCGAGTCCTTTATATCCCAGGCTCAGCCTGGACCCCGCCCCTTTGCCCTGGGAAAGCGTGACCGCACACCTGGGGGTCTGCAGGGCGCAGGTATCAGTGATTTCTGTGTGTCTTTCCCTCTGGAGTGTGGCCACGATAGACTTTTCATCTTATTGACTTTTCAGTTCAAGCAACGGAGGCCAGGAGGTACAGTGATAAGAGGGAACAAAGTGGCCGTGCAGTGGAGAAGGAAAGATTGCTTCTTGTCCAGGAACTCTGCGCCCATCACGCGGAGCCATGGTGTGGGCATTTTGGGGAGAGGGCCAGAGATGGGGAGAGCCAGAGAGAAGGGTGTCAGATCATCTGACATCTGGGACAGATGATGCTCAGTCCTGGGCACTGGCCCACGAGCTGGGGACACTGGGCAGCATCCCTGACCTCAGCCCACCAGCAGGCCAGGAGCAATCCCCAAGGCGTAACACCCAAAAAGTTTCCAGGTGTTGTTACCTGTTGTCCCCCGAGAGGGACAACGGCTGGTCTACCGGTGACCCCCTCAAGGGTCTGATGCAAGTCCTGGCCACCAGCACCCTGAGTCCTTGGGAGACAGAGCCTGGCGTGCCTGGGGGGTTGGTTACAGTCATGGTGTCAGTGAAGGCAGTGTTGGTGGTGCTGGCGATGGCACTAGGGGTCCAGCTGGTAAGGGACGGGGGGAGCAGTGGCTGAAGTCACAGTTATTGGGGCTGCTTTAGAGATGTTTAAGATCAAACAGGGTCTTTGGAGTGGTCCTCGTCCCAACCAGGGCCCAGGCCGTACGCAGGACACACGCGCTCACACACGCGCGCGTGCACACACACACACACCCCTGTACCCACCCTGCTTCCCAGCCACAGCTTCTCGTGCCTAGGTGACCTGGAGCTGGGGCCACCACCCTGGCCCAGCAATGCTCTCCATTTTGGGGTAGTGGAAAAAGTGCCCCGCTGGCTCTCACTGTGCCATCTCGTGCCTGTACCGAGGGCTCCAAACAGATTTATCATTTCCTTGGGCCCCAGGCAGGCAGCCAGGACCAGACCTGCCAGCCACCACCCTCCTCTGGCCAGTGGGGGATTTTCCACTCTGACTACTGCTGCCCCTGACCAGCCGGAGCCTCCCAGGCCCTTGGACGGGAGGTCCCTGCCTATCAGGTCTCTGCCGTCCCTAGAAACACACTAAACTCTGGACAGTGGGGGTGCAAGGTAAGACAGAGGATGTCCTCCCTGGAGTGGGGGACCCCGATTTGGAACAGCAAGAAAAAAAATTACAGAATCCTTGGGCCAGCTGTCTCTGGACCCCAGTCACACCACATCCTGCCCTGCCCCAGGAATCTGCAGCCCCTGCCCGCCTAAGCTGGCCTTCTGACAGTGCAGGTGTCTCCTCAGGAACCCCAGATGTACTAAGTCCTTTGCCACCGTCCCTGCCACTTCCACCCCTCATATCTAGAACACCTACTTTCCTACTTGCCAGGAGTCTGCACAGCCTGGAGGCACCTGAACCTTCTGGTTCTCATCCACATCCGTCTTCTACCCTGACATGAGACACCCTGATGTCCCGCCCACGGCACTGGCCTAGCCCATCCTGTTGTTTCCTGGCGGGTATGTGCTTCCTCTTGTGGACGGGAAGCCTTCAGAGGACAGAGACCAAGGTTCTGTACCCTTAGGCCTGGCCCGGGGCTCCAGAAATCATGAACAGTTGATGGAGTCCATGGATGGTTCTTAAAGGCACTGTGGCTATATCCCCACCCCATTATCCCTGTGCTCAGATTCTGCCCTGTACTCCAAGGGATGTCCCGGGAGAACCCTGCCAGAAGGGACCTCAGGTCCTCTCTTTAGCTTCTAGTCTCATCCTCTCTGAGCGGCCCCCACCCAGAAACTCAAAGGCTCCTGTGGCTAAGTGGATAAATCCAGCATCTAGGACACGCTCAGGCAGGTCCCTTCAACATTTCCAAGCTCACCTCCACTGCTAACCTGTACAGGTGCCTTGCTTTGTCCCAAGGGGGCACAGGGTCCTCTAATGTCTATGCCTTTGTCCGTGCCACACCCACCATTTGAAAGACCTTCCCAAGCACACCCACCCCAAAATCACCTCATTGCCCATTGACAGACAGACCCTCCAGTGTGGAGAAGTCTGATTCTCTTTCCCTACTGCCATCATGTATCCTAGGGATTTGCCCAAGATCCTACAACTTATAACTCAAAGAAGAGATGTTGCCCTGCTCTATAAATAGTACAAGGACTTCCTTCCCAGGGTTCACAAAGTGACTCTGGGAACTGGGATTGACAACAACGTAGCATAGATGTGGTTACTGCTCACCCTCAGCCCATGGCAGACATCACTAATCTATCCTGCTGTGCTCCCTGACCCCGTCCCATGGCAGATATCACTAGTCTATCACATCACTCTTTCTCACCCTTCACCTATGGCAGACATCACTAGTCAATCATGTCAGTCTTTCCCACCATGCTCAGATGGAGCTCTGGAACCTGTCCTATCTCAGTGTCATTTGCAGTCTTCCTCAGTCCATCAGAAAACAAACAAACAACAACAACAAAACTTCTGGAGGCTAAATTTTGTTTAAAATTCTTTTTTTTTTTTTTGAGACAGGGTCTCACTCTGTAGTTGAGACTGCCCTGGAACTCACTATGTAGCCGAGGCTGGTCTCGAACTCACAGCGATCCTCCCGCCTCAGCCTCCTGAGTGCTTATTTAAAATTCTAAAGCCAGGTGTGGTGGCACACTCATGTAATCCCAGCACTTTGGAGGCTGAGTCAGGAATATCACTATAAGTTGAAGGCCAGCCTGGGCTACATAGTGAGATCCTGTCTCAAAAAAAAAAAAAAAAAAAAAAAAAAAAAAAAAAATCCGACACAGATATCACTATACAAAAATCAAGGTGGAACTGGAATGTAGCTCCCTGGGAGAGTGTTTGCCTAGCATGTGTGAGGTCCCAGGTTTGATCTCCAGTACAAAAAAACAAATCAAAGCAACGTGAAAGAACAGCAGTTCGCGCCTTTCTAAATTATCTTCCAGCTCATACTGTACACACTTCACTTTTAAGGGAACTGTGATCTATGTGTAAATGCAACTCCTGTTCTGCTCTTATCACATAGACCACATATTCACTTTTCCGTGAATTAAGATAGGCGCGCTCTGTTATCGCCTGCACGGCTATGTGGGTGCTATCATTTTGGTATCTGGGCTTACTTGGCCCTATTCTTTTGGGTTATTTCCAGTCTCTCACTTCCACCAATAGCACCATGCTCCCAAACGAAAACTCATCCCAAGGAGCAGAACAGTGACCCTCCCATGATGAGGGACGGTGGAGTGGAGGCTAAAAGCAGCACTTTCCAGGGAATCCTGGAGCCAGGAAGCTGCAAGTTTCCCTGGGAATTCTAATCCCTGAGCTTGTCACTTCAGCTCTGGGAACAAGTACTCCATACACCTGAAGTCTTTGGCAAGTATCTTCATGAAGTTTTAGTGATGGTTCCAGCTCTTTTCTCTTCTGTTTGAGACAGGGTCTCACTACGTAGCCCAGGCTGACCTCAGACTCGCGGTGATCCTTCTGCCTCAGCCTCCCAAGGGCAGGGATTACAAGTGTGCACTACCGCACCTGGCTGAGATTTGGTTTTTGTAAATTCGAGAGATTCTGCTTTTTTTTTTTTTTAAGAACATTGACATAACTCTAGGCTTAGAGAAGTCGCACAGGACAGAGCTCTCTCACACACTTCAGTCTGTGTCCCTTAACATCTTAAGTAACCATAAGAAAATGGCCAAACCCAGGATAATTAAGCCTGACCCTGAAATAACCCACAGGCTTTATTTAAATGTCACCAATTGCCGCAGTAGTGTCCTTTTTTTCTGGGCCAGGGTCCAAGCTAGGGTTTCACATTACATTTAGTTTTCATTTCAGTCTCCTCCAATCTGAGACAACTCCTGGTTTTCTTTGCTTTTTATGACCTTGCTATGTCTTCTTTTGGGGGGTGGGATCGAACCCAGAGCCATTGCCCTGAACTGCATCCTCAATCCTTTTTCATTCTGAGACAGAGTGTCCCTAATTCATCCAGTTGCCCAGACTGGGCTTGAACTTGCAATCCTCCTGCCTCAGCCTCCCAGAGAGCTGGGATACAGGTGTGCACCATCATCCCCAGTGACCTTTCCACTTCGAAGCTGTCCTGGTCAATTACTTTGTAGGCTACAGTTTACGGCAATGTAGATGCATTTTATTCCTGGCAGTTTAACCTTGACCACTTGGTGAAGGTCAGGTCTACCAGGTTTCTCTTTGCCGTTAGTAATCAGCCAGCATCTTCCCAGAAGACTGTTTGAGAGTGTGGGCCCCTGGTCCTCATCCTTCTTCTGCCCACCGATTTCAACATCTCGCAGCGATTCTGCCTGCAGCGGCTAACTGTGCTGCGTTCCCTTTGTTCCCGTCATCCGCCTGTACCTGTGAGCCAGGGTGCTACTGTGAGGAAGAACTGGGCTCAAAGCTTCACAAATGGCCTCTTCCTCCCCCACCAACCACTGCATCGTAGGGCTTCCAAGCAGAGGCCCTTGGGGCAACTCCCAGACGGGCTATCTGGTCCCCTGCTGCCGAGGAGTCTGTTTATCTGTCTGTGTCTCAGACATCTGGAAATCAACCTGGGTGTGTGCGTGCATAAACGGATAAATAGAAAGATGCTCGCTTGTCCTCTGGTCTATTTATTAACCTACAACTTGCGTGGGGTGCGTGTTGTACTATGGCCCTCAGTGGTTGGGGGCCGTGGCACTGAGTGACCCAGCTGCAGGCGTCGGCAGAATGAGATCAGGATCCAAACACTCCTAGGAGCCTTTCTCTGTTCCTTAGAACTGACCAACAGCAGTTGGGTTTGCGGTTCCCAGAGAAAGTGAAGCCAACGTTACCAGGGAAGCTCTCTGATTGGCCCACCTTGGTCGGACGCCCAACTCCCGGACCAATCAGCTGTGGCCGGCGCATAGGGTCAGAAGCATTTGGAAGGGTATGGGCAGAAGTGGTCAGAAGTAAGTCGCTAAGAGACAGGGCCATTTCTGGATATGTGACGTCAGCGATGCCTGCACAGGTTTGTCTCTGTTGACACAAAGACCTTACATCTAGCTCTTCATTCTCAAACCTTCGCACACATAGAGGAGATGGCATGAGACGTGCCAGTCACATGACTTTAGAACACCTCTTCTTGGTTGTTTGTAGCAGTGAGAATTGAACTCAGGGCCTTAGTACGGAGCTACATCCAAGCCCTTTAATTTTTATTTTGAGATAGGGTCTCACTAAATTCTTAAATCTCCCAGATTGGACTCAAACTCACGATGCTCCTGCCTCAGCCTGGGATTACAGGCTTGCGCCCAGCATGTAAGGCTCTTTGATCCCAACAATGTGCTGCCCTTTCCGAGCCCGAGTTTCCTCTCTGTAAAGTGGGATAACAATACCTGCTCTCCACTGTGCTGTGTACCTCAGTTGGCCCCACAGCCTAGAGAGGGTTTATGCAGAGCCAGCAGAGTCTTATTCTTTACAAGAAGAGCTGGGGGTGGTGTCCCATGCCCGCAATCTTGGCTGCAGACAGGTGGCAAATTCCAGCCCAGCCTGAGCAATTTATCGACTTAGTGAAACCTTGTCTCAAAAGAAAAACTGTTTAAAAAGGGATGGGGATGTAGCTCAGTGCAAAGGGCCTGAGTTCAATCCCAGGAGGAGGAAGAGAAAAAGAGGCAGGCTGGGAGAGGAAAGGACACAGAACGGCTGTCCTCAGAGAACCACGAAGGTGGGGAGAGGGGAGGCACCCCCAGCGCTGCGGGAAACCACAGTCCACCCTTAATGCTGCGGCCGCGAGGACAGCGCAGCAGAGGAGTCTTGGAGGACGAGCTTTTGTTCCTGAGCAGCTGCACACTTATCACAGTGCTTTTAGCGCAGATACATACCAGGCACCATGGCCACAGTTTCATAGATGCAGGGGGGCCAGACAAGGCCAGGGGTGCTCCTCCTGGAAGTACTGCACCCTGAAACTCTGGCTGGTCTCCTAAGCAGGCACCACAGGGACAGGCTGAGGCAGGCACGTCCTCCTCCTCTCCACCTCCACCCCCCCCCTCCTCCTCCTCCCCTCAGCCCTGGGCCCTTCAGGAAGCCAGAAACACTAGCCTGTCCCTGTCGAGATGCTTCCCAGTGGTGGCCCTGTCCCCCTGACCAGCAGGACAGCTGTGAACACAAGGACCGTGAAGGCGCTGCTTGATCAAGTTTGGGCCCGAACACACGGCGTGGAGACGGAGATCACACCGACCTGAGCCCCTCCTCCACAACCCACTCTGTCCCCACAGCCTGTGCCCACAGTGCCACCTCTTTTGTGTCCCTCACATCTCTGCCCCGAGCTGCAGGATTGGGCTGGCGTGAGTGACAGATGGGGACCCCCGCTTCCGGGGAACCCAGAGAGCAACGCACAGCTCGGCCCAGGGAGAACTAAGCTACATCCCAAGTCCCTTTAAAAATTTTTGTTTATTTGTTTTGAGACAGAGTCTCAC